TGTGCTGGCCTCTAGTGGTCAGTGTGGATATTGCAGGCTCAGGAGACCCTGAGCTGGGCCTGAGGCAGGAAGAGCTGAGAGCGCCCAGGAGGCCGCCTGGTCCACTGGACTAATGACACATCACCCCCGTGCCATAGTTTCCCCTAAAGGGAGAAATAATAGAATCTCCCTGACAGGGCTCTTGTAAAGACTCGGCCCTTACGAGAGGCTCAAGCATCCCCGAGGGCCCCGCCCCTCCCCCGCAGCCAGCTCCACGCAGGCACGGGGTGTGGGGGGTGGGTGCAGCCATCTCCCTAAGTGGGCTTGGTCCTAGGATGCTCCCTAGCATCGAGGATGGAGAGGCTTTCCTGATGATGTACTTTTGGGATATGTTGTCAGGAGAGCCGTCCCTGGAGAAGGACGCCAAGCTTGGTAAAATAGAGGGGCAGGGAAAGAGGGGAAGGCCCTCAAGGGTGGGCACCGTGGCTGCACCCAGGGGCTTGAGCAGTCATGGTGAGGCTGGAGCAGGACGGGGCGGTGTGTCCCTCTGTGGTGTCTGGGGCCGACTGAGCGGCACCTCACAACAGCATTGTCTACTGTTGATCACAGGTGCTCCGCTGCTAGCTGAAAAGGCAGGCAGTTCAAACCCACCAGCCGCTCTGTAGGAGAAAGACGAGGCAGTCTGCTCTCAAACAAGTGTCAGACTGGAAAACCCCACAGGGTGGTTCTGCCTGGTCCTGCAAGGTCTCTGTGGGCCAGAATCAACCCAACCGCAGCGGGTTTGAGTGGGGAGTTTCCTATGGTTTCATCTGCACTTATGCTCGGTGACCAGACAGGGGAGCCCTGAGGAGAAGGATTTTCTCACATGGCAGAGTGGGACGAGAAGCCAGCCTACCGACCCCGTCCAGTGTACCATCAAGTCTACAACACCCAAGACCCACGCCAACCCACTGCTGCCTGCTGATCTGGATTCAGAGCGAGCCACTCGGGCCGAGAATTGCCCCTGAGAATCTCCCACGATCTGATCTTCACAAAAGCCAATAGCCTCATCGTTTTACCACGGAGCAGCCGGTGGGTTTGAACTGCCGACCTCTGAGTTGACAACCGAGCACTTTAACCACTGTGCCACAAGGACTCTTCCTCTATCCAAGGGTGGTGCTGCCAGAGGGACCCGGACTGAGCTTTACCAGCTCCGGGTCTCAGCTGCCCCCTGCACTGGGCTGATGGTCAGAAAGGGCCCCCAACCCATGAACTTCAATGACTACTGTTGTCCTTATGGGGGGTCAACCCCATGGGGTGTGTAAAAACCAGTCAAGCCAGCTGTGGAGCCTGTGCTGACCCCTAATGACCGCGGGCATCAGCGTGGGGTTTTCTTGGCTGTGCTCTTTGTTGAAACAGAACACTAGGCCTTTCCTCCACGGTGCCACTGGGTGGCTTCGAACCACCAACCCTCAGGTCAGTGGTTGTTAGCTGCTGTCGAGTCGGTTCCAACTCTTAGCAACCTGATGTACAAGAGGGCGACATCTGCCCCACAATTGTTACTGTTTGAGACATTGTGTCAATCCATCTCGTCCAGGACCTTCCTCGGGTGCAAGCTGTTTGCACTGCCCACGGACCTTAGGTGGCTAAATGGCATGACCTTAGCGGAGCACCCCTGAGTGGTCCGCTCAGCCTGGTCCACGCAGGCCCAGGGGGGCCTAGGGGGAGGAGCCAGCTACCTTCCAGGTGAGCTTGGACCCGCGTGGCTCCTCCCCGGGGGCGGGGCTGTGGCTGTGCCGGGCATCCACCAGCAGGTGGCGGGCGTCCTGGAGCTTGGACTTGTACAGCATCCACCGGTAGCGCAGCTCCTCCAGCTGGTCCTCCGTCCCCCGGGCCAGCCCGACATGAAGGAGCTTCTCAAAACGCCGCTGTTCTTCAGGGACCCGGGCCTCCAGCTCCTGGGGATGAGGCGGCATCATGGGGCACCGTCCAAGTGACCCGATGATCCCCACAACGGGTAAGGAGGGATCAATCCAAGTTCACCCCAACGGACAGATCCCATCCACTCCAGCCCACGCGTCACGGCTGGTGCCACCAAAGGACACCTGGACCGCTGGCCTCCAAGGTCACTTCCACCTCTGACAGCCTTGGACCCCCAGTCCTCCGAAAGCTGAGAGAAACCCCCTGCTCTCTGAACACACCTGGGCAGGCTCCACAGAGGGAGTCTGTGTGGGCCAAGCATTCTTGTTACCAGCGGCAGAGCCACCAGCTGACCACCAATGGACAGCAAGCACACAAGGGAGCCGGGAAGGCCAGCCCAGTTGAGGTCGCCCTTCTGAATCATGACTTTAATACATGGCTGCTACTTCAGCACTTGCCGGACCCATTACTTTCTACTTGTGTGGTTTTTTGTTTTTTTCGGTTGCAAGCATTCATTTGGGGTAATGGAAGGCATTCTGAGTGAAGTAAAGAAAAAACCCAACTTTTATTTCTTTAAGGTCATATGGAGGCCTCAAAAACAAGACAATTAGTGGGACACATATGTCCTGAGGGAGTGCTGGAGGGGTGGTGGAATGAGACTAGTGTCTTCAAGTGCACACAATTATATAAGCCACCACCAGATAACAACATTAAGAGTGGGACAACAATTTCCCACTAAACCCCAGATAGGTGAGCACTATCTGTCCTATGGGTCACAAGCGGGTTCAACACAAGTGTGGGGGTGGCTTGTTACACAGTAATAGCTAAGTGATCCTAGGAATCAAGTGGTTCGTAGTGATGATTTCCCAGAAGTTAATTGAATGAACGAGTGCCGGGAAGAGTTCATAGAACATTTGAGCCCCCAAAGCTTTACAGCACTATTGCTATGCATGAGAGGTGGGCTCACAGGCTTCCAAACTGTGGCCTCTTTGTGCAGAAGCCCCTGGTGCAACACCTCCGGCACGAAGCCCGCGTGCAAGGGCCTTTCCTGCGGAACAGACCTGCAGCTTCCCGTCTCTGGCCCTCAAGTCCTCGGTGGTGGCGATTCTCATGGCGATGATTCTAACCAGGTTGGAGTTCTCCTCCTGCAGCATCTGCTCAAAGTTCCTCCGGTCTTGGGAGAAATCCCCCTGGCCGTCTCCTTCATCCTGGGGCAGCCGTCCCTGCAGGGATGGTGGGTGCAGCCATTGGTCACACATGCTGGGGGCCCCGCTGAGGCCGAGGGGCTGGGATGAGGGCAGGATGCCTAAGAGGTGGTGGGGCGGGGCGTGGGGAGGGGGGTGAAGAGTCCATCCCTAGGGCACAGGCCCACTCAGGGCCCAACATGCTGCCACCTCCCTCCCTGGTCCCCGTGTGAAGCCACCATGATCCCTTACCCCGAGAGTTCTACCTGGGGGTCACCCTCTGCCCCTACCGACCCTCTTCCGGCTTCTGTGGCCCTGGAGTGCCCTTCAAGCCTGACACTGAGCTCACCCTGGGGATCACCTTTTAGCCAAACAATAACAACAACAACCTCCCCCTCCCCACCAATGAGTGGAGTCCATTCCATCCCCTACTGAGCCTCCAGCTCAGCACAGAGCTGCCCCGGAAGGGCTCTGAGACTACAAATCTCCACAGGACAGGGGCCTCGTGTTGCTCCCTTCAAAGCGGCTGGGGGGGGGGGGGGGGTGTTCAAATCACCGCCCTATCCGTTGGAGACCCAATGTTGAACCCGCCGCCACAGCTCGTTAAACCACAGACAGCTCTGTACAGTGAGCAATAACCCCACGAGGAGAGCACGCTTCAGAAAAGCACCGGTGGAGGGCTGGCAGAGCGGCATCTGCCCCAGCCCGGAGCTCAGAAAGCAGGCAGGAGAGAGAAAGGATGGTGGAAACGGGGCACAGGAAGGAAGTGTGGAGGAGGGTGACACCGAGGTCCTCAGGCAGAAGGTGGACAAACCACCCGATGGGAAACTCATCCGCTCCGCCAACTTTCACCCAGGCCCCAAGTCAATGACCAACCGAGAAGACAAAGCAAGTCGACCCCATCGGTCCTTAGCCCCGGGTGACTTCTCACAGCTTCCCAACTGCCTGGAAGCCTCAGGCACTTACCCTGCTCCCACAGACGTGTTGAGGTACCCTCCCTGCCTCAGGGCCTCCACCAGGGTGGTGCAAAGGTAAGCGCTCTTACTGGGCCCATCTAGACCCCACCCCTCTGAGGATGTACTACAAATGCCAGCCTTCACGCCGGTGGCGATGACCCCTTTGTGCACCGGGTGAAAGTGCCGTATCTTCTGAGTCTCCCTGGCCTGGAGGGCCTGAATTGAGTCAGGACCCTCTGTTTCCGGGGGGTACCTTCAGCCGAAAGACAAAAACCACATCTCCGTCGAGGCCACCCCGCTGTGTCCAAGAGCCATCTCAGAAGTAGGCTCCGAGAGGCTTCCTGGGACCATCAAGGAAGAGGGGCTGCCAGTGAACAGGCTAGAGACTCCCACCGGAAGTGGTAGAGGTGGAGACCAGGGGCATCTGTGCCACAGAGGCCATGGGATGAAACACCGACCGGAAGCTGGGGTGAGGAGGTCATGGGACAGGGCAGAGGAGCAGCCCAAGACCGTGAGACTGTGAGGCACAGCAGCGGGTGGGCTTCCCAGGGAGGCTGGCGCTGGGATTGACGAGGAGGGACTTGACTGCTGACTCAGGAGAGGCGTGGCTGTGCACCCATCATTGTATCCTTACTGTTTCCTGATCCTGACTTGTGGTAACCTGCAAACGCCCCCTAAGAAACCCCCTTAATTGTGAGTATTATCCGTGAGCTCAGTGTGGCCGATGAAACAGATGGTTGAACCCAACACGGAAGGAGCGTGCTGGGGGCGGGGGCGGGGGGTGGGGGGGCTGGATGACGTCAGAATAGGGCAAGAGACGGCTGCAGGGTGGGGACACAGCTGACCTCTGCTTTGTGCCCGTCGGCCTTGAACTGCTGTGGAGCTCAATCCTCCTTCTTCAGGGGAGGTCAGAGGGGGGTCCCATGCCATCTACTCACCTGTGCTGACTCCTCCCAGAAAACACCCACCTGCCCCAGCGCTGGGTCCCAGCCGGTCACCTAGCCCCCGGGTGCCCAGAGCGACAGCTCTTTTTGCCAGCACTGCCTCACTGGCAAGTCCCCGTTCATCTGCCTGCGCACCCACTCCCTCACTCTTCCAAGAACTCTGACGACCAGCCTCGAGCTGGCAGGAATGCAGGTTCTCAGGCCCCCACCCCCACCACCCCGCCCCCTGGATTCAGACTGAGACTCCAGGGACTGAGGGAGTTGGCAGAGCGCTGTGCTGAAATCCAGGCGCCCGGAGCGTCTCAGGCTGACTCCCAGCGGTGACCCAGCTCCAACACAGCCCTCGAAAGGCCAGGGGCCATCAGAAAGGTGTAGGAAGGTGGCAGGGTCTTGGAATGCCATCACCCCACCAGAGCTTTGCAGCCCCCTCCACCCATATAGACAAGGCCTGTATGGGAGGGGCAGTTCTGCCCTAGCCTGGTGGGGGTTAATGCGTCCGGATGGACTGGTTTGTGGGCCGGGGTGTGTGTGTGTAGGGTCGGGGCGGGTTTCTGGTGGTCCATGCGTCCTCAGTCACAGGGGCAGCTCACAGACTGAGGTCGGCCCTGGATGGGGCAGGGGACTTTGCAGCAGACTCCCCTCCCAGGAGCGCCCCCTGGGAAGACTCACCCGGTATCGCTGTCTGAGAGTGGGATGCAGAGGGTCGATGAGGAAACCAGACTTGGGGATGTTGTTGGAGAATGCCACCTTCTTCGCGGGGTCCTCGGTCAGTCTTTGCAACTTCCAGTCTCTGAGGAGGCTGGGAAGCAATGCCCCCGCCCACTGGGTCAGCATGGCCACACCATAGGCTGGGCACCCCGAGCAAGGCCTGCGGCTGCAGCACTGGCTGCCTGTCTGGGTTGCACCGGGATTCACACTGCCCACCAGGATGGTGCATCCACCCACTGACGCAGGTGGGAGACTGAGGCTCAAGCCAGAAGGGGCATCTCCAAGCTCCAATGCCCCCGCCCCCTCCACACACACACCCAAGGAGGCCTTAGTGGTCACTAGCAGAACTCTAGCCCTTTGCTCTCTGAACCCTGAGGGGCAGGGTCCGGGGCGCTATCTGCTCACCTCAGCAGGTGCTCCTCCAGCAGTCTCAGGGTCCGCCGCGCCTCCGTCAGCTCCGCCATCTGCTCCTGGACCAAAGCGGCCCCGTCCGGAGACGAGGTCTCCACCACCAGGCGGCCGCGGGCTTCCAGCAGGGGCAGCCGGGCCTCCCACTCCGGGATCTCTGCCAGCAGCCTCTGCACAAGACACACATAGGTCAGTACACGTGCACACGTGAGCGCATACGAGGACACAGCCAGTCACACATCAACATCTGCATGCACACACGTGGGCATGTGGATGCACACGCACACGTAGGGACATGCATTCACACATGAAATCTGCACATGCACACATGGGCACACACGTGAGGATGCACACATTTTGTAGAACAAGTGCACATACCTGCTCAGGCACATAAGGGGGTGAACATATTCATGTGCATATACACACGTGAGCACATGCATGCCCATGCACACACGGGCACACATGGGGACTCATGATCATACATGAGCATGCACATGTGCACATATGGGCACACATAGGTGGATGCGTGTGAGTGTATGTGCCTGGGTGTACACGTGTGTGCATGGGCATGCATGGGCACACAGTGGGGCACACTGTGTACACGGGCACACATGTGGGTATACACACACATATGAGCAGCCGCAGGAAGGAGCACACATATGCATGTGCATGCACACACGCATAGAGTGAGGCCCCCCAGTGTGGGTCTCTGGCTGCTTTTCGGGGCACAGGGCAGGCCATCAGCACCTCTGCGGTGAGAGCCAGCTTACCTCGACCTCGGCCTCTGGGATGCCCGCCTCCCACGGGCCGGAGGCTCCCCGCAGGGCCTCCAGCTTCTGGGTGAGCAGGGACGTCCGCGTCTGCAGCTCCAGCAGCTCATGACTGAGGGCGCCGTGCTCCCGAACTGCCTGCCGACTCTGCTCCAGCAGGTCCTGCGGCACAGCAGGGGGGTGCTCAGCCAGAGACACACCAGGACCCCAGGACCAGCAGTCCCCCAGGAACCCCACCCCCCACATACAAACACACTCTCATAAGGGCTCAGACTTCTGGCCCCACAAAGGGTGTTCACTTAGAGAAACCAAGCACCACTGGTTGCAAATGCCTGGTTCCTAAGGAGCCTGCTGGTACGGGGGCTGCGGGCTGGAAGCCACCGGGGGCCGTGAGAAGAAAAGACCGGGCCACATGCTTGCTTAAGGGAGCCCCATGGGCCCGTGCCACCCTACAGTGCCACTGTGTGAGGGAGTCAGAGACACAAGGCCACCACGTGCCTGTCTCTGGGGGAGTCCCTGGGTGCTTAACACACTCGGCGCTACCCCAGAGGTCCATGAAGGGTTAAAGGAGCCCCGAGCTGTGATAATGCTCACTCCATTGCATTGCTTGGATGTGGGCAGTGAGGGGCCCTGGGAGCCCCCAAGGGCCAGAGGTGCTGTGTCCAGCCTCTTTCCCACCCCCACCCCGCCCCCGAGACTCCAACAAGGCCCGACCAGCGCCTCCCCAGTTACTGGCACTGAATGGCCGCAGCCCGACAGTATCACTGCTTCCTGGATTTGTCCTGATGGTGTGGGGTGGGACATGCCACAGATGCAGAGAGAGGGCGGGCTCTCATCGCACCTGCAGAACCACCCCATGCCCAGCGGGATTCGAGTGTCCCACTGAAGCATCCAGGGAGACGGTCATTGTGCAGAACCCCAGTCCTGACATGCCCCCTGGCCTCTCCAGGGACTTGTCCCATTTCGGACATTCACGTTTGCCGAGGTCAAGCTGGCTGTGTCCCTTGTCATCTGTGGCTGCCACCTTGAGGGACGTTCTTGCCACCTCAATCTCCAGCGGGGCCAGCCTGCAGCGCTTCCATATGGAAAGACACTGTCTTAGAAGAGCTGAATCCACTACTGCCGTGACGCACAGAACCCCACTGGACAGAGCAGAACTGCCCTGTGGGCTCCCGAGGCTGTCATTCTTTATGGAGGCAGCCAGCCTCATCTTTCTCCCTCTGGGTGACTGGTGGATTCGAACCTCCTACCTTGTGGCGAACAACCACGAACAGCGAACCCGTGACATCTCTACGGCTTTTAGAAGGAACTACTTACTTTCTCCTTCCCACCCCCCACCCCCAACCTTCAATGACAAAAAGACCCTTCTGTTTGTTGTTAGATCAGTTGGTTGGGTAAGATATTATCGATGAATTTCTGGATCATAAAGGGGGCTGTGGTCGTTATATAATCTGTTGCCAATTTGAGAGGATTAGGATGAATGGGGTGGAGTTTAGCCTGTCAATCAGGCCGCAGCTTGATGACCTCATTTGGAGGCACTAGGGAGATCAATAGTTGGCTGGAGGCAGGAGACAGGGAGTCCCTCCCTGGGAGACGTTGCAGTTGACAAGACACATGAAGCCAGGCTAGTGCCCTGAGCTGGAGAAGCCACGTGGAGACCCCTGCCATTGCTGAGATGCTTACAACGCCACCGGATCCACAAGACTTCCCACCCACAGTTCAAATCCACCTATGATCGTCCTGCATTTGGCGTCATTGCATGCATTTCGTGAGTCTGAAGAGGACTTTATAGATTGGTATCGGATATATGAGCTAATATTGGATGCATGGACTTGATCTGGACTGGGCTAGGATGTTTTCTCAATTTTCAATTGCGCTTGAATATAAAGCTCTTTCTCATACACATATGCATGTCTCTATGAATTTGTTTCTCTGGTCTACCCGGACTGACACAGGGGTGTTAGGAATAATTGTTACTAAAGTGGGCGGCAGTGGAGCTGGGGCACCCCTGGGTCATGCATCGGGCTGCTGATCGTGAGGCGAGGTCAGCAGTTCGAATCCACCGGCTGCTTCACAGGAGAAGGATGAGGCTTTCCCCACTCCCTGAGCAGACTTTCTCTGAGACTGAAGACCTATGGTCTCAAAAGCCCACGGGGGTGGTTCCACCCTGTTCTACAGGGTGGCTATGAGCCAGACTCAACCCAGTGGCCGTGGGTCTGGTTTGTTTAGAGTCGGGTGGGACTGGTCAAGTGAGGGCCTGGGAGTCCCTGAGACACAAGAAGGTTGCTGTTGTTTTTGAACTCCTGGGGATTAGAGATGCTGGCCTACGTGAGTCAGTGTCAGGTGAGGCTGCGGGCCCATTTCAACAAGTCCTAGCAGCGGATTAGGAAGCCGCCTCAAGTTTCATTCCCACGCTCAGCTCAGCACAGGGCCGAGCCGGTGGGGAAGCAAGAAAGACGTTAGAGGGCCACCAGAGGGCACTGCAGGCCAGGCGCTGTGGCCGGTGGGCACCATCAGGATGCCAGGCCCACTCTCTGGAAGGACCTTCAGCTGGGCGTTCATGCCGCACAGGGATGGGGGCTGGGGCCCAACAGTCGGGTCCTTACTGGGACAGCAGGACCCTTCTTTTGCCTCTGGGCCTTGGCCACACGATGGGGTCGCATGCTGCCTTTCTGTTGACTGCTTCCAGGTCACTTAGAGGACTAAGGTGCATCTGACCTCACAAGCAGGTGGCCCGAAGGAGAACTGATACGCTTGGATGATGGTGCTGGTGAGGAACTGACAGCCCCACAGGTGGCCAGAAGAACTAACTTCCAGAATGCTCCCTGGAAGCAAGGATGGTGAGACGTCAGAGTCTCACGTGCTCTGGACACGTGGTCAGGGGAGCCCAGTCCCTGGAGAGGGATAGGATGCTTGGTGAAGTGGAGGGGCGGCGGTAAAGAGGAAGACCCTCCCTCGACCAGACGGATTGTATTGACACAGTGGCTGCACCCGTGTGAGCAGTGGGCAGTGTTTCATCTGTCGGGCCCGGACACAGGGTGGCTATGAGGGAAAACAGACTGGACGGCACGTGAGTTAGTTAATTGTGCCAGCCTGGCCGATAATCACATGTGGGGCTAATTGAAAGGTGGAGGGATAAATGGGTGGTGAGCCTCGCCTTTCTAATTCTGGGGTCTCTTGCTTTGTGATGGTCCCACCAGGGTGTAGCTGCCTTAGCAGTTCCCTGCTTCAGCTTGCAAGATTGACTTCCTACAAGACATCCCCAAGGAGAAGCCACATGGACCTATCACGATGCAGCCCTGGGTGCTGGAGCAGCCGTGTGGAGACCCCTGCTAGTGCTGAGATGCTTGTTCGTTCACTGACTCAGCTTTCCTCCTGCAGTCGGCATCATTGCCTCTGTTTTGTGAGGTGGAGGACTTTGTGGACTGGTGTTGGGTTAATGGGTTAATGTTGGACTTGTGGGCTTGGGCAGCACTGGGTTGGGATGTTTTCGTGATGCACCTTTTCTTTATATAAAACTCTCTCTGATCCATGAGTTGCTGTGGATTTGTTTCTCCAAAGTACCCAGACTAATACAGCACGTAACTGCGTGGTGCACCTCACCCACCAAGGCAGGGGTGACCCTCGGTGGACTTGCTGGTGCTGCCTGGCCACCGGGAGGCGCACAGTAACCAGAGAATGAACAGCTAAGTGAGGACAGAGGAAAACAAGGGAGAGGAAGGCAGGAAGGGGGGTGCAGAAGCCCAGCAGGGAGACCCACCGGCCTGGTTCCCCACCCAGCCACCCCGCCCCCGCCCATGCTGGCCCTTGGTTTGAGCTTCTTACCTCCAGAGACTGCTGCAGGGCCTGGAAGTGGGAGGAGAGCTGGTCCATTTTGTACTGGTGGCTGGCGTTGCCCTGAATGAGAGGCCTCACAGCCTCCATCTGCACCCCCAGGTCCAGCCCCTCCTCCTGAAGCCCCTGTAGGAGGGCGAGGACCGGAAGAAGGTCAGAGCTGGGAACTTGGGGGGGGGTGGGGGGGGTGGGGGGGGTGTTCGGGGCTCTGGGATGGCAGGTCAGCTGAGGGATCCACTCACAGGGCAGATGTCCATTTTTTAAATCCAAGGAAAATATTCTGGGACATCCCCAAACTGAACTGGGTTAAAGGGGGGGGGGGCATCTTGGGGTGGGGTGCACGGCCATCCTGGATTCTTGATGATCACATCTTGTTATCAAGAACCACACCACCATGTCAGTTTTATAGCCCAAAGCCCAAGCTCAAAGCTACTGCCGTCCGCTTAGCTGTCTTCACCGCGGTCCTCCAGGATAGCATGGAGCTGCTCCCAGGGGATTCTGAGGCTGTCTGTCTTTACAGGAGCAGACAGCCTCACCTTTCTCCCACACCGTGGCCGGCGGGTGATGGGTTAGGGTGCTCACCACGAGGTCCGAGACTCAACCCCCTCAGCTGCTTCGTGGGAGAAAGAGGAGGCTGCCTGCTCCCATAAGACGGGCGTTTTCATAAACCCACAGGGGTAGTTCTAGCCTGCGCTGAAGGGTCGCGGCACCGGTGTCAGTGTCGGCACACTGGCAGTGAGTTTGGGGTTTGCCTTAGAGACCACTAGCTTGGCTTCCATGGGAGCACTGCTTCTTCTCAAACACCATACCCCCCAACCACCCAGCCCCCGTGTCTAGCACTGACACATCAACGATCAGCCCATTACGGAGCCCAGGTGGCGTGGTGGTTACGCATTGGGCTGCTCACCGCAAGGTCAGCAGTTCGAAACCACCAGACATTCCACAGGAGAAAGACGAGGCTTTCTACTCCCATAAAGACTCACAGCCCCGGAACCCACAGGGGCGGTTCTACCCTGTCCTGTAGGGTCACTGGGAGTCGGCATGGACTCGGTGGCAGTGGGTTTGTTTCTGTGGCTGTTTGCTGGTTTTTGTCTTCCTGTACAGAAGAGTCTCTATTTGGGGGGACAATTCATGAGAAGGAGCCCAGGATCTGCCAGGCTTCCCGGAGGCCATTGAGTACTGTCCTAAGACTGTAACTGGAGTCCCCCTACAAATGGGGAATGAGCTGTCAGCGCCTACGCAGAAAGAACTGGCGATCTCCTTCTGCAAGATCAGCCAGTGGGAAGCCTATGGGCACTGTTCCTTTGTCACACCTGAGGCCAGCCTGAGTCAGAGGCAACCTGGCAGGAGAGAACTGGTTTTTACACACCCGGACAGAGACGTTTGGGAACAAGAGAGAGGTGCTGGCCGTCCGGCCTTGTGAATGCAGGGAATTCCACCCCCTCGCCCACTTTCACATGGTCAGCTGGATGCTACACAGACTGTACCCCAATAAATCCTTTAAACAAGCACAAAAGACTTGGCCGTTTCCAGGCAAGAAAGCCCTGGCTGGAGCTGGGGGGCGGGGGATGGGAGTGGGGGCGGCTGAGGATGTTAAAGGTCAGGTCTGAAATGGCCACCTGCATCTGGGAAGGAGCTGGCTGCTGCCCGGCTGTCGGCTGGCTAGGGGAAGGGGGAGGAGTCCTGGCGACGCAGTGGTTTAAGCGCTCGGCTGCTGGCTACTCACTTAAAGATTAGCAGTTCAAATCCACCTGCCCTCCGAGGGGGGAAAGGTGAGGTTCTCTGCTCCTTGGAGACCGTCTCCTCTCTGTCTCAGGGTTGCTATGAGTCAGAAGAGGCTCCACACCAGTGGGCACGGGTGTGGGGGCAATGGCTACCGGGCTGATCAGTGATGGCAGTGCGCCTCCCCCCCACAGCTGCTTCATGGAGAAAGTTGGGGTGTCCGCTCCCTCAAAGATAAAGCCTACTGCCCCTGAGTGCGCTCTGACTCACAGCTACCCCCCAGGGCCGAGCAGAACGGCCCCCCAAGGTTTCTGCAAACGAGGTCTTTTCAGAATGGCAACTTCCTCCTGCAGAGCGGCTGGTGGGTTCAAACCACTGATCTTAACATTAGCAGCTGTGTGCTTAGCCAGCCTCGTCACCAGATGCCTGCTCTCTCTCTCCTTAAGGATGACAGCCCTGGGTTCCAGTTCTCCTTACAAGAAGGGAGGGGGCGGGGAGGAGGGGAAGGGGAAGGGGGCTGAGCAGGGGACGTGGGTCCCTAGAGCCCTCACCTGCAACCTGGAGAGTTGGGCCTGTTTCGCCAGCAGATCCCGCTGCGGCCAGTCCTCAGCCTGCAGCCTGTCCTCCAGAGCTGCCAGCTTCTCCTGCAGGCGCAGAAGCGCCGCCCCGAAGTCCTTGTGCTGGGAGAGCAGGCTCTGCAGGGACAGGATGGGGGTGTGAGGGGTGTCCCTACAGGGCCCTGTCGTCAGCCTTCAGACTCCCAGATCCTCCGGACCAGCTCCGTGTCAGCCCCTCCAGGAGCTGTCCCTGCATGGAGTCTACACATAACACGCTGGCCTAGGGGGTCAGGGAGGGCCAACTCCATCCCCCACCCACCCACCCACCCAATCCCACCGGAAGTGTTCTTATTTATAAAGTCTTCTTGGAATTCAGCCTCGCCTAATCCTGTACAGCAGCGGTTCTCAACCTGTGGGGCGCAACCCCTTTGGGGGTCGAACGACCCTTTCACAAGGATCGCCTATGACCATCGGAAAACACATATTTCCGATGGTCTTAGGAACCAAGACACCGCTCGGCTATGCGTCTCCAGGTGGGTCCTCCCACATGCAGATACCCCCACAGACGAGTACCCAGCATGAAGACTGTTACCCAGGCCACACCATGCTTCAAGACAGAATGTCATTTATTCGTCCTTAGAAATACATATTTCACAATATAGAATGACACATTGTTTTTGTGGTGAATCACTATGCTTTCATGATGTTCAGTTTGTAACCATGAAACTACATCTTGCAGATCAGATATCTACATGACGATTCGTAACAGCAAAACGACAGTGATAAAGCAACAACGAAAATAATTTTCTGGTTGGGGGGTCCCCACCACACGAGGAACTGTATGAAAGGGTCACAGCATGAGGAAGGTGGAGAACCACTGCTCTACAGTGTCTGCCGAGCCACAGGGGCAGAGACAGAAACCCTGCAACATTTGCTGGCTGCCCGGAGTGGGGGACACCTGGAGCTGTCCTCCGCAAGGTCGGCAATTCCAGCAGCTCCGAGGGAGGACGCTGAGCCGTTCTGCTTGTTCACAGAGTGACCGTCTCTCTCAGAAGCCCACAGGGCCAGTTGTACCCTGTCCTATGCCGTCACCGTGAGTCGGCATCGACTCGGTGGCTGTGGACTTTGGAGTAAATCCTTCCGAGAAAACCGCTTGTCCTCTCTCTCTTGAGAATAACCTTCGGGGGGCAGCCTGGTCAGGGTCTCCACGCAAGCCTGACAGCCATCCCGGGCAGAGACCTGGCTTCCTGCCCCTGTCCCCACAGAGCCTAGACCTGTGCCTCACACTGCTGGTGGAGAGCCCAGAGACACACAGCTATGGTGCAGGTGGGCCCCTTGTTAGCCGTGCTGTGTGGAATTAAGGACATATGAATTCCTACGCCCTGGTGGCGTAGTTGTGATGTGTCGTGATGCTGATCACAGTGTCAGCAGTTTGAACCCACCTGGTGCACCCTGGGAGAAAGATGGGGGTTTCTACTCCTGTAAAGACTTACAGCCTCAGTAACCCACAGGGGCACTGCTACGCTGTCCATCCACTCGAGTCGACTCGGGGCAGGCAGTTTGAGTGAGGGGACTTTTGCGTGTGACCTTGTTCAGAAATAGAGCCTTTGAAGATGTTAAATGAGGGCGCTTTGGGTAGGGTGGGTCCTAATCCCATGAGGGGTGCCCTATGCCAAAGAGACACAGACAGAGAGATGTAGAGACACGCAGAGAAATGCAGAGGCACACACAGAGATGCAGAGACATGGTGAGAGATGCAGAGACACACACAGAGATGCAGAGATATGGTGAGAGATGCAGAGACACACAGAGAGATGCAGAGACATGGTGAGAGATGTAGAGACACACAGAGAGATGCAGAGACATGCAGAGAAATGCAGAGGTACACACAGAGATGCAGAGACATGGTGAGAGATGCAGAGACACACACAGAGATGCAGACAGACACAGATGTAGCGACGAGACACACTGAGAGGCAGAGACACGGTGAGAGAGATGTAGAGACACACACAGAGAGACGCCAGCGGGGGCAGAGATGGGAGCGAGACGTGTGTCCATAAACGAAGGCCTTCGAGGAGGAGGGCTGTCCCCAGAAGCTGGGAGCGCAGGATGGGCAGCGCGTCCCCAGGGCCCATGGGAGGAATCGGTGTGGCCAGCACTGGGCCTGGGCCTGTGGCTCCAGAACTGGGGGTGGAACACTTTGGGGTTTCGTGTCAGGAAGCCCAGCCTGTGCAGCCTTGGGCCCTGACTTGACAAGCTTCACCTCAGCTTCCTCGGCTGTCAGAGGAGAGGAAGCACAGGGCGTCCCTCCCAGGGCTGGGACTTGGAGGAGCCAAAGTGTGGGTGGGAAGCTCAGCACTTAATCAGTGTCCAATACGA